GGGATGTGAACCACGCCGATAACTCTTTTTACCTTCGCTGCAGACATGGATTGACCTAACTTGGACCTCCTCAGTGGATTAATTTGACTGCATCCCCTGAACTTGTGAGCTGGGGTGTTCCTATTTTAGTCTGAGGGCATTGCTGCTTGTAGGAGGAGAAGGAGTTCGTGGCTTTAAGGAGAGAGCGTCTGCGTCAGAAATGTCAGTGCCATTTACCTGTCATTTAAGCTTTCATTCCTTCGGGCTTTAGAAGTTTTGAAAATTTTGAAAGCCTCTAATTAAAAGAAGGAAGGCAAATGCTTCATACCTTTATTAATAATGATTGCCTTAGATTTTTAGTTAATATTTGGAGGATTATTTGGCATCAAATGAATAGTAATATTTTGTGAAAACTTGGAAATTAGACACATGGGAGGTGGGATGTACATAGATGAGGAACAGTGATTTGCATATATTTTTTGATATCTGTGAAACACAGGCAAACCTGTCGGAGGTGTACTGGTTTATACCATTTTCCCATGAGACATGTTCCAGTTTTGACATACTGTCTGTATGTGATAATTGTCTGAGTTCATTCTAGAATGTTCCTTATCAATATGTTTCAATAATTAATGTCTATAGCTTGTCTTAGGAGCTGCCTCCCCCCCATTTTTAACTAGTTTTGCATGTGTGAGAGCAACCCGACTCTGCCTGTTCCCTTCAGTTGAACCAAGGAATTATGGGAAACTGAAGCGTTGGGTGGATACACTTACTTAAAACCAGTATCTGTAATTCAGTTCCTCCCTTTTGATTTTCGATTCATTAGCTCTGGTCAAGAAATACATTATTTAGAATGGGTTACCTCAATCTATGACGATGTTTTTGCTTGTTCTTCCTTGGACATGCCTCACGAGGAGTTAAAATGTGAACAAGTTGATCTAAAAATATAAATAAGTAAAAAAAGGAGAGTGAATATTGAAACCAAGTACTAAGTACTATGTGAGGATTTCATTATTGATTTTGCACAAATGTCCATTACCTCCAATGACTCAAAGTAGCGGAAATAAAGAGACCCCCCCCCAGTCAAACTGAGATGGCATTTTTTTGGTGGTGTTCAATACTGCATTTGATAACATTTTGATTACAGTGTTTTTCTAGGAAAAGATTAGTGTTTCCATAAGCGGTTCCTAATTTCTAACAACAAACTAACAATCAGAGCTTCAAAGACTTGTATTTGTTGCTCATTCTCATAAGAATTTTAATACATTGAATTCAACATTTTTATTGCTTGCCAACTGTTACGTAAAAGGCACAGTGCTACGTGTTGGTTGGGTGAGAGCATTCAAAGTTCCGTATCTCTAATAGCATATAATTTTCATGAAAAGGATTAACTTTTCTGTCCGTTGTGCTTTGTTTTTAATAGATGGTGTAGTCTACTTTTTCCCCCACTTTTAGCTTCTCATCTTACTGTTTAGCATCCCTAGCTAGAAGAGCAGGGTGTCTGTTGAGCTATCTCTGTGTATTCACTGTTTTTTCTTGGTTTACTATCTTCTAGAAATAAAACTGTGTTTAACTTACCATCGTCTACATTCTGTCCCTACAGATTAGTTTGTCAAATGTTTTCTCCAGCTTAATTTAAATGATTTATAAAATACGGCTTTGATCATAGCCCTTTAAAGAGAAAAATGTGCCATGTTGTGGCCCATGTGTCTTACAAATGGGGAAGACTTCTGGATGGGCAACGTGGAGGTTTTTTAGTTCAGATTTCTTTTACTGCTTCAGAACACATTGTCTTACTCAATCTCAAACAGTCATTTTCCTTCTGGACAATAAATGTATTTCAAATATTTCATCCTACCCTATTTTCTTGAAAGCACGCTTTCTTAATTCAGACTTTAATCTTTTCTTTCATTATCAATACTTTATCTTATTTTATTGCTTTTCTCTGAATACCTTCATCTGTAGAGATGCCTTGCTGATAATGAACTTGAGTAGAAGTTTGTCTAGGTGGTCTATCCAGTCTGCACAGTCTGCCTCCTGACCTCTTCTATCTGCTTCCTTCTGCAAATCTATTTTGCACCTGAGAGAATATCCTGGAGGAGTTCCAGTCAGCATCATCTTCTAAGAACCACGTGCTCTTCTAAGCCCGAGGCTCTGTACGTGAGACACCATCGTAAGACAAACTCAGAACATGATCTCTTTGTCTAGGGACTCCCAATTCAAACCTGTCACTATCAAAGTCAATCGTATTCTCTCTTGTCGAGATATTTCTCTTTAATAATAACACTTGGTCACATTGCATGCCAACGGCCTGATCATGTCTTTCATGATAAATTACTTGGTAAATACATCTGTGGACTCTTCTTTTGGGCGGTACAAATTGTTCCTCCTGACTTTTCTCAATCTTTGCACTAGGAAGTTAAATAAAACCTTTTTTTTTCTTTCCCAACACACAAACAAAAAATTGAAACAAACCTTCCATCTCTCTGGTCAGAATAAAATGATCACCGTGACTTCAGTCCTGAGGTCTCTTGAATGAAATCTTGCAATCACTTCATGTCTTGTCTTGAAGGGCTAACTCATCCATTTCTGTGATGTCACAGGAAGTCTGCATCAAGTCCATAATTGCAGTAAAACAGTTGTTTTCATAAACAGTGTCAAGAGGCTAGATCGTTAAGAAGAGTTGAAAATGATCTGATCCTGGCATTACTGCATTCTATCTCAAAGAAAACTTTGTTATTTTAACTAATATAACTAAAGACATTACTGCAATCAGTCTAAATTCAGCACAGTTCACCATTTTGCATCCATTTGATGCAGCCTAGTTTTGCATTGGGTTCCTGAAGTCACGCTCCATTTCCAGACAAGCAATAGATACGTAATTAGAAATGCCAACTTATTATAATCTAAGCCCAGTTTGTTTTATTTCAATATTTTAAAAAGTGTTTAACTCCAGTTTTTTCCCTAATATCTTAATGTTGGCAGAAGTGTACCTTCTTTGTTGGATAGTTAAAAAAAATCTTAAGGTATTTATTGGAAGAATGGACAACTGAATCATTAATCTTAGAGTAATGACCTTTACATTTTGAATGAAAGGTGAGATGACACAAAGAAGTTGCTACTATTTAATAATCATCTTTGAAGCTGAGGAACAAAGGTAAAAGAATGACACATTCCCATCAGTGGGAAAAAGCAGGAGATGGCTGATTTCTAAAACCAAACAGGATTGTTCTAATGCTGTACAACCAAAGAACGCAAAGATAAGCCAACTAGTCAATGATCCAATATGTAAAAACTGGAAGCAAATAGCTTCATAGGGCCATTAATTGTGAATTTCACACGATAAAAGCTGTTAAATACAGAACTTGAACTTAGAATTACTTGAAAACAGAAGTAGCATATTGCAGCAAGGAAGACACAGGCAGAGAATCACTGGTTCTTCATACAAGTGCTAAAATGCTTGAATATGGGAAAACTTCAGTTTCATTCTATTTTCTCATATGCCAGTTTTTTCCCTTTTTAAAAATTGTCTTTAATTCTTTAAATTTTTTAAATGCCTTTAGCATTTATTTTGACGTAAAAATGGGAGTGATGTTGCCAAATCCATAATCGGTTTGAATTCAGTAGTTTACAGGTTGCAAAACGCTCCCTAATCTACTAATTTTGCTTAGTCTAAAACTGTGATTATTTAATGCCCGTAGGCATTTAGGGAGCTAAGAATGACAGGACTAGAAATGGAACTACATTGGCTTAAAATACCAGGAAAAAAATTCCAAATCAGGAATTTTGTTTATCCGTCTACAGAAACAGGCTCTGGGCTGTACCCACTGATGATGCTGTGAATTGCAAGCTATTATTCTGAGTGTTTACTGAAATATTTTCTGTGGAAATAGATTCACTTTTCATATATTCCACTGGGAAGATAAATAGCCAGCTTCCATGTGGATGGTTTCAAGACTTGCTTGCTCTGGTTTTTTTTTTTTTTTTTTTGGTCTTAATACTCACTTGACAACTTTGAGTAGCTCTGTTTTTAAATTTCTAAGTCTACATTTGAAAAGAAAAAAAAAAAACCTTAGTGCCCTCCACATTCCCATCTTGCCTGATTTAAAAAAAAATTAAATTACAAAAATGGACTCAGGTGTTACACAAATCTGTAACTATATGACTCTTAGCAGAACTGCATGTGACAAAAATGGTCACCGAGCATCACTGGGTCACTTAAACTTGACCTCTGAAAGTGGCAGTGCAGAGATGGTAGAAATACTGCCATTTGATTTTCCTGCAGGTTTGCAGGTCAGCTCGAGTTACCCCTTTTAGAAGTGTGTTACGCTCGGCACACACAGACGAACGTAGTCAAGGTTGGCAGTAACATGCTAGGTCAGAGGTAACAGCTGAAGACGTGGAAGTTCCCAAGGTCACTGGTTGCTGGCTTATCTTTTAAATCGTGCCTGTCACCCTGCCCGCCCTTGAGGGTACAAAGGAGGAGTAAGAAAGAGCTGCCGTTCTAGCAGCAGTGAGTGTCCTGAGCCCTCAGTGAACCCGGGGCGGGGGGTAAGTACCCCTTTAGCTCCGTGTCCTGGCTGGGCGTGCAGAGGCCGAGAGCTTGACGAAGGTCACACCGCAGGGCAATGGAACCTGCGAGAAAGACATCAGCCGTGCCCCCTGTACCGTTCCAGGCGTTAAGAGCTTCAGCCTTGCTTTCCCTCTTGGTGATCTTCAGTGCTTTAAGCAGGGGGTTCACCCCCTTTGAGCCCCACGACGCCTGTCCCATACAGCCCCTGACCAAGCGCGCTGCTGCTGCTTCGACCCCCTTCTCCCAGATGGTCCTTGATCCGATCCAGGGAGCCAGTGAGGAGTCCGAATGGCGGGGCCGCTTAGCATCGCGGAGGCCTGCCCGTGTCTCTTCCACACCTGATGCCTTCACAGGCCTCCTCTCCCGAACCCCTTCCCAATAGGGTGTGTTTTTTTTTTTCTCTTGCTCGCTCTCTCACTCTCTCTTTTCTGTATCTCTCGGAAATCAGACAGGAGTTCAGAGCTCTTTCACTACCTTTTATGAGGTAGATTGTGATGTCATAGATGGGGGCAGGGCTAGCCAACTTTCCACCCACCTCCCAGCCTGTGCAGAGGGAGCTCCGATCGGGAGTGGAAGCAGTGATTCCTCCATGGTGAGTAATTTTGCTTTCTAATCTAACCTGTCTCATTGTAAACATTCATTGTGAAAGCAGCGGAGGGAGGGGGTTTCAAGGGAGTAAGGATGTGACCACTGAAGCCCTCTTTACTCAGGGGGAGCCCACTCTGGGCAAAGGGTCTACTTACGTATTCTTTACCTAAGTCAAGAATTCCACAACGCAGATAACGTTCTTCAAGCATGATCTAAACTTGAGAAGTTGAAAACGCTATTTGCATTCCTTCACTTCTCAGTTTTTCTCCCCATTGGGACTGAAAGTCATTGCATATGTGGAATGAATCCATTCGGTAGTCTCTGAGTGAGCATCTCCAAGGAAGGCCAGTTAGGAGAATGCATTCTTCCTTTGAAGGATTTCAGGATCACAGAATATCCCTTACTGATGTTTGCCCAGAGAATCAGTCTGTTCTGAAACTGTGGAGTAAAACTGAAGAAACTGATACGTAAGAATTATCAACAAACGTGGGTTTGATGTCAACAAATGAAAACGTTCTAATGCAAAAGCTAAATTATTTATTTGAAAAAGAAGAGTCACCACTCTTGCAAGATTAAGGGTCTGGCCATTTCAATGTGTCACAACCGAGTCTGCTACGTTTTTGTTGCATGTCATGACACTGGTGCTGTTTTGTAGGAGTTCTTGGTAGTTAAGAGCTGTGAAAAGCTGCTGTTCTTTGTTTCATTTGGGTTTCTGTTTCTGCTGATTAATTCTTTTAAATGCCTTAGTGTTTAGAAAGCCAAGATCAACTGGAGTGAGCATGTCTCTCCACCTTCCTTGTTCTCTCCTGGGTACCTATTAAAGCTGCCAAGATGTCAGCTTTTATATGAAAGGGCAAAGGAAGTTCGTGGAGATAGTTAAGTGTTTGAGGGATGTCAAAGCATCAGGGTGGGTGTTTTTAAAAAGATCTGACCATCAGAATGTGAGGCCCTGTTACGTTTCATGGGGTGGGATAAAAAGCATTCTGGTTTGAATCATAGTTACTATGAGATACGTTAAGCAGGTATCACTCATTTATTCAAATCCCTGTGTGACTAACTATGTGCCGATCTTGGTGTTGGGGAATTGGGGCGGTTGGGAGCAGGAGTCCTTTGTCATCAACGTGTAGCTGCTCTTACCCCATCGCCTGCAGCAAGTTGCGCACTTTGATGGCTCAAAAGCACAGATACGTCGTTTTTCATTATCTGGGGTGGCACAGTGTGATGACTGCCAAAGTATTCTCCCACCTAAACTTTCTAACCTAAAGAAGGAACTGTCATGGTAGAAACTTCAGGCACAGTAAGGGGAAACAGAGGCAGAAGTGGCCCCTAGGAAGACATAGGTAATAATCACCTGCAGTCAACTTCATACTGCCATGTGGGAAGCAACGCCAAAGTCTCATAGGTTGGGTGGTCCCTTTCAAGTCTCTGGCCTGCCTTCCGTTGAAAAGTGCTAGACTCCGGAACTCCGGTAGAAGCAAAGCTTCAGTGCCAGGAAAATCTGATGTCTGATCGTAGCTCAAGTTTTTATGTCTTTTATCAACCCCTCATACAGCTGCCAGGTAAGCAATGCTCATACTTTACAAACCCTTGGAATACAATCACCTTTAAACTTCGTGAGTTAAGGATGGTTGTGTTGTGCGCTTTGAGCCAATTTCAGAGGCTCGGTTGTGGAATGCCTTGTGCATGCACTTGTCGACCCTCGTGTGCACGTGCTCATTTACAGTGCTGCTCAGTGTGTCTGCATCCATTTTTGTATGTATTTAAATTATAATTTAAAAATACATACATACAGAGTGCTCTAAACAAAATGGTGAAATGTGGCAGAAGTTGCATTACTCCGGGGTCCGAACACTGGGGTTCTCATCCTGTTTCTGTCGGTCACTAATTAGGGAACTCGAAGCAAATTACTCAGATCTCGTGGACCTCAGTTTTCTCATCTCTAAAGTGATGATCGATGATTTAAAGGAAGTAGCCTCAAGTAACCTGGCTCTAAAATTCTACTGTTTTATAATATATTTTTGGGTAACTGGCTTATGAGAAAAAGATTGTACAGTTGGTGAGACCTAGTTTTTGTATGAGACATACAGTTATTCAAACCAGAAAAGAATTTCAGTCCAAACTAGATTTCAAAGTGTACCCCATATCTGATGTGGTGCTGTTTGGTTCATGACAGAAGTGGGCCCTATTTTAAATGGACAGTGTCAACTCCTTGATAATTAGCTCTGTGTTGATTTGGAAGACTGATTGGTTTTTTAACTCCATAATTTTGTGTTATTCTGATTACCCTTATCCACTAGGTAAGGGAGCTGGTCCCCCTGGGAGTCTACAATTAAAGTTACTTACGCAGAACTGCAGGAGTTGCCTCGTGGTGTCGGGAGGCGTCGATGGGTAGGGAATTGGTGGGTACTGAGCGACCTACTGTGAGGGATGAAAGACACGCAACCCCTGGCTCCTAATCTCGGGGAACGTGCAACCTTTCTGGGAGCCTAGACACATGCCAAGTGTCAACTTAGAGGTGAAGACAGTAAGTGTCAAATGACTAAGAAACATCCCTGTGGTCTGGGGGGAGGCTGGGTTGCACTGGGAAGGCTTTGTGAGAAGCTGAGGCCTTCGGCCCCCAGGAACAGAGCGGTTTCGGCCTGTGTCCTTGTGCTTGACGAGCGCAGGGAGGGGTTTCAGATCAGCAAGCCCGCAGAATTGTCAGTGTTGCGGGGGCGTCCTGTGTTTAGATACGCCATGTCTCAAGACCCAGAGTCTTCGTGCGGCGTCCAGCCCCTTACTTCTCCTGAGCTCCCTTCCCCTTATTTACAGGCTGACTTTACAACACAGGAAGAAGAGGCTGCAGTGCGTGACTGGCAGTGATTACCTCCTAAAATATCATCAAGCAGTTGCTTTCTCAGTTACGCAGAAGGTCGCACGATCGCTCACAGCCGCACTGTGGGAAAGAGATAGAGAACAGGGCGGAAGCAGGGACGGAAGGGGACTCTAGCTCTGGGACAGTCCGGTCTTCTGACAGAGGTGGAGAGGGACTGTCAGTGACACGTGTAGAAATGTCGGGTGGTCACGGAAATGCCCGTCAGCTAACGAGCGTCCACGGAGCCAGGGGCATCTTCTGAAGCAGTCGGAAGTTGCTGTGTCCACTGGACAGGAGTCGCGCCAGACTCTGCTCTCAAACAGCCACCGATGACGCAAGTCTCTTTCCCTGACACGCTTGAAAGAGGTGATTGGTCTGGGAGGGATTTGCCCACTTTGACAAAGAAGCGCACTTAGGTCTGAAGGCCCCTCTGTTGCTGTCGATTCGTGGATGGTTTTCAGGATGTACTTATAGCATCACTTCGAGGGCGCCGGTTTTGTATTTCCTGTCATCCGAGTTACTACTTTGGCCTTCCTCGCAGGCAGCAATTCCGCGAGTAGAACTCCTTTATTACCTGTCCCAGATTCTAAGGACTTGGTTGACATCACCCAGTGAAATGTTTCTTAATTTTCTGTCATGACATAAAAATGACTTTCTGGAATATATTACCCCCAGAAAGCACTTTCAAAAGCTAAGCTTGTCTGCAGGGGAAGAATGAAGTGGTACCATCAGTCAGTTTTACAAAGCAGAGAATGTTCTCTTAGAACTAATTTGCCCCCAAAAAGTTCAAGTAAGACTTCACATAGAATTTTGTGGCACAATCTAGACTATTAAAGGAATTTAAAGATATTAGAATTAGGTCTGTCTCAAGAGAACAATAAAGGTGACAACTCTTTCTCACCTCCCCCCAGATGTCCCTCGGGGCAACTTTAGACATAAAGGTTCAGCTAGGTTTATAATTCCACAAACATTTATTGAGTGACTAACGTGATATTCACTGTCCTATGAATGGACATGGAAGTAGCATGGAAAAGAGACACATGATCACTAGCTGTGATAGATTATAATAATCACTCTTAACAGAGATATGTACGAAGGGATATGAGCATTCCTGTGGAGAAAAGGAAGAGGAATCTTTATAAATGGGATAATACTTTTTGAGTCTTCATACGTAAGTGGATAGGAGTTTTCCAGGCAAAGGAGGAGAGAGAAGGGATTGGCCCAGGAGAGAAACAGTGTCCATAATACTGAGCTATAGATGTATTCAGTGCTGACCGGATCTGAGGATGTCAGAGACAGCTGGAAAGATGAGAAAAGTGAAAGGTGAAGTTAGGAAGGTAGGTGGGCACTGAATATCCAAGAAACGTTTCCGATCTATTCTCATTTTAATGTGTCCCTCAAAATGGTCAGAGGATCATCCACATGCCAAATGCAGAAAGAGGTAGGAGGCGACTGTTAAAACGCAGGCCCCCGGGCCAGCCTGCAGGCCTCCCGAAGCAGGAGTGTTGCGAGAATGTAGGGCTTGCAGTCTGTAATTAACTACCGCGCCCCGCCCTCAGCACCTGCCAGGTGATTCATTTTCACACCAGAGTTTCAGAATCTCTACAAGGCAACAAAACTGACTCATTGTTTCTATGTTCTTGGAAGAAGATTCAGAAAGAGAAAAAAAAAAAGAAAGAAAAGTTTAAATGTTAAGGAAAAAAGATTGGGGAAAAGAGGATAAAAGTAATGTAAGAATATTCTTGAGAAAATTGGTTTAGTATTCGGTTAACTATAAAAAGTAACTTTCTAAGAATGGTGCTTATTAAGTATGAGGAAGTAGTAAGGGAGGCTATTAACTATCCTTCATAAAATAAGAAAAGGCACGGGACCACATATTTAAGGGACCATCTTGTATCTTTCCTCGTCATGCTCCAGTACAAGCAGTTAATCAGCTCAGAGCGAAGTTGTTCTGTAGCTCCCAACGTGTGCCCAGATAAGGAATGGAGGCAACAGAGCAGAGCAATATTTGTTTCTGCTTGGTCTTCTTTGGTAGAGCTCTTTGGCTATTTTTTAATTTTAATTAGGTGAGCTTCACTGAAAAAAAAGACATTAGCATTCCCATCACGACTAGAAAAATCAAGCTCTTATGCCAATGTCGGGCTACCACC